CACCACGCCCGACCGCCTTTGTCTCCCCAGTGGCGATGTTTACACACCGCACCGGGGTACTCATTTGAGGCTGAGTCGACCTAGAGAGGCCCCAGGACCGGTTCAGATAATCGTCACCGGTGTTGGCCGTGAACGGGAATCGAACCCGGGTCACCGGGTTCACAACGCAGCGCGCTAAACCGCTACGCCACCGCTCCCTTGTAGAGTACCTGAACCGGTCATGGGCCTCCCCTAGGTCGGCTCAGTCTCAAATCAGTACCTGGTGTGTAAACATCACGACTGGGGAAAAAAGGCGGTCGGGCGTTGTGTTGGTCACACACACCCCCTCGTGTGCCGTTCCGGCCTTCATATATGCAGCTACTCGCAAACAGCACTTGCCCCAACAGTCTGTGCTCCACACTCGCACACGCGACGGCGCTGCGCACGTGATGTCCCTCGCACGCTCGAGGTTACCACCACCACCAACCACCACCACCAAACTGTTCATCGTATTATTGATTATTTATGGAGTGTGCCGGGCAGAGTTTGCGGCCCTGGTTTCTGTCACTCGGCACCCGCGATCCACGGCGCGCGCGTGCCCAACCACCGCCAGGGTGGAGCGGACACGAAAGGTACGGGCTCTGTGTGTGTGTTTGTGTGTGTGTGTTTGTTTGTGTGTTTGTGTGTGTGTGGTGTATGTGGGGAGCGGTAGTGTAGCGGTTAGCGCGCTGCGCTATGAACCTGGCGACCCGGGTTCGATTCTCGCTCACGGCCAACACCAGTGACGATTATCTGAACAGGTCCTGGGCCTCCCCTAGGTCGACTCAGCCTGAAATGAGCGCCTGGTGCGGTGTGTAAACATCGCCACTGGGGAGACAAAGGCGGTCGGGCGTGGTGCAGCACTTGCCCCTACAGTCTGTTAAGGCTATACGGGGGATCTTTGTATGTATTTGTGTGTGTGGCCACCCCCAAACACTTAGGTCCAATCTTGATTTGAAGTTTTCGTGACTGCAGGAACCCATATTCTTTGGTATTTTTGGTAAAGTCACGTAGTAAGAAAAATAAAATTAAACAAAAAATAATATATAACGACGTTTCGATCGCAACACCATCCAGCAGTGGAACTGCTGAACTTAGGTCGACGTGTGCAGTTCCAGCCTTCATAGGTGCACGCTAACAGCACTTGCCCCGAAAGTATGATTAGGCTATACGGGGAATCTTTGTCTTTGTTTGTCCACCCACCCCCTCGTGTGCTGTGCGGGCCAGTCTTCACAGGAGACTACTCGCTAACGGCACTTGCCCCAAAAGTACGTTTAGGCTATACGGGGGACCTTTGTCTTTGTTTCTATGTGGGGAGCGGCTGCACAGTGGTACGCGAGCTCAGTTCCGAACCCAGCCACCCCAGTTCGATTCCCGCTCACGGCCACGAACACCAGTCACGTTTACCTGAACCGGCTTCTCCTAGGTTGACTCAGCCTCAAATGAGTACCTGGTGCGGTGTGTAAGTAAACGTCGCCACCGGGAAGACAAAGGCGTCCGGGCGTGGTACTGACCACGGTACTAGCTCGTGCGCCGGTCCGACCTTAATAGGTGCTCGCTAACAGCACTCTCATCATCATCGCCTGTTTGTGCGTGAGCTACGATGAGACAATTCAGATCATGGACACTGTGACCGGGTACTCACAAAGCGGAATATTAATGCACACATACGTTTTATATATATTTACAATAAACGATCGTGGGAATTAACGCTTTGCAAATAGAATATTTAGTTTATATTTCACGTGTATTTTGTGCACTCCAGCCACTCGAGCTGTACGATTTAAAATGTCGATTTTAATTAAAATTTCTTCAGAACTGATTATTGTGTTTCGTGTGTTGCCCCCCCCCCCCCCGCAACTCCGATTAGCGAGGTTAGCTACGTACGGTGCGAAAGAAGTTCAACATACAAACTACCCATAGACTATCACTACCAATAGACTATCACTACCAATAGACTAACACTACCCATAGACTATCACTACCAATAGACTATCACTACCAATAGACTAACACTACCCATAGACTATCACTACCAATAGACTAACACTACC